CGCTAGGGGGGATCGAGGCATTCTCAACAATGGTATAAGCTGATCTTGTTTTTTTTTCCCACGCGACAGTACAATCTTTCTTCTTACTGAAACGTACTGCCAAGAAAAAAAAAGCACAATTTTCCATAACCATGGTAACGGAAAAGCGTGAAGAACTTAATATAATAAAATTTTATTACATTAAATTACATTTCCTGAAACCTCTGCATGTAATATAACTTTGAAACAGTGTGCTAAAAAAATGCTTGATAAGATATTGATATTAATAAGCTAAACAGGTTAGAATGCATGATTAAGTCGGTAAAGAAATTAAATCACTTTTCTAATCAACTCTTTCGATCAGGGTGTTACAAAAGTAATGATCAACATCATAATTGAAAGTTGTAATTTAATCTACCAATTCAAACAAATTTTACTATGGTTGGAAAGTAAAGATAAAATTGTCATGAAAACGTCTGCTGAGAGAAAAGAAAGATTATATTACAATAAAATAAAAAAGGATAAATAATATTTATTAACTAAAACTTAACAACAAATGATCAAATGCGCGGTCCCCACCTTCAATACAGGCATCACATCGGCGACAAAGTGAATCATTCAGGCGACGGAAAATTCCCAGAATTCAAGAAAATTCCTAGAAATAACCATTTCAGGACCATACATGATCACACGATTATCCCTTCATGGAGCACGTTTTCAAAAACGAAACGAGAATTACCGACTCTAGCAGTCCAAAATAATGCCGGCGTGATCGCTATATGGTACTCTCGTATTACATGTCGTATGAGCACGTATACAAACTCTTTCGAATACGTATATTCTCGCGGAAGCGTTTCTTTCTCCTTCCGCCGATCCTGCCTCATCATCATCCGCCGATTAAAGATGCCTCAAATTTTTATTTCCTACTAGCTCTTCGACTAACTCTGTTTGAGTTTTGTTAAATAAAATTATATGTTATCAGAAAATTCATACGTTATAATTTAAAAAATTAATGGTTATAAAAATGAATTTTTTTATGCAATTGTCATTGGATAAATGAATTTTATAATTGTGTGCGAATATTTTTAAAATTGTCTAAATATTTCCAGAGGTTATTATACGCGGATAGTGAAGTTTGTTTTAGGTGGCTCAAAGTTTTGACTGCTGATGGGATCCTATTTTTTTAATTGCGGCTATTCCCCCTGCAATCTTTTAAAAGTTTGAAATTCAATTTTGTCGGGAAAAAAAGTATGTTTATCCTTCAAAAATATTACAATTTTGTGTTTGATTTCGTAACTTTAAAATTTTTCATATTAATAATTGGTATAGTTAAGATACGCCCCGCAAAGAATCGAGATTGCATGCTAGTAAGTAAAAATCCGATCATAAGATTAAATGTTATTCAAAGAGTCGGCTTCTTTTACGACTCTTTTGATTGACTCCTTTCACAGTAAACATTCCAATTCATAAACTAGCAAAAAAATGATATAATTTCTTACCTCATTTTTTTCTTCACTCCAAAACGACCCCATTACAAATATTGTTGTATTTCAGCCGAAAATCTACAAGTCAAAGTTTGGATTGTTATAGCAAATTCAGAATTAATAATTAATTAAGAATAAGAATGTATGAAAAAATAGAATTAATGATAATGGTCGCCAAGCATCGCCACGTCGGCAAAAATGTAACAAAACCGAGTTTTTCATAAGAAATATATACATATGGCGTTATTTTCTCTCTTGAATTACATTAGAATTACGCGACTTTCTAGTAAATTTTCTAATTTAACTGTTTATTTAGAGTCCGTTTTTGATATTTAGTCTCATAACAAAAGAATATTTACAAAATTATACTCATATCTGTAAATTTGCAACAGTAACAATATGATGTGTTTTTTTTTCCAAATATGTTCACTTGACCTATTGTGAAAGTTATTTTAAAATACCAACTTTTTAAACAAACAATTTTTTGCTTCTAAATACAATATTTCATCATCTTTGATTGTATTTTTCTTCACTCATCAAGATAGTCTGTAAGTTATAATAATCATCATCTATCAATTATCCTCTATCATCATCATCATCTATCGCTAGTATATGTAGTTTTTCCAGCAAGAGAATTCATACATTTGAGAATTCATGCCTTGACGATTTTCCCAAATTGTTGAGTATTTTATTCCTGATTTTCGGCAACTGATTTTCGTTTGTATTATATTATGTGTTATATTTTCACCTCGAGATCTTTACTTAATAAGCTCACGCTAAAGTGGGAGACAGCAAGTTTAAAAAGAAAAAAAAAATTGGAGTGTGGGAGAGATTAGATGTTGTCAGATATAAATCCTAACATTTATATTGAAATTTTTAAAAATAAAAAAATAGAAAAACTTAATACAATAGAGATAAAAACCCTCCATATTTGAACTGTCTAAAGTCCCATTAACAAGTAAAATTACTTCTGACATATTTCTTTTTATCAAGAAACACAGTATATATTCTTTAAATAATTTTTCATCTAGTACGGAGGATTATTTTTAAATCCAGGTAATTGTTCACTGTGTTACGATTGACACAATGACAAAGTGTTGGTATTGTACTGAGCACAGGGGTTCGTTTCGACTGGAGATGAATAAAATAGCAATTAAAACTCAAAAAACTTATTAGAAGAATCTTCCAGTGTACACAGTTCAAATAACAGTGTATTCACAGGCTTTACAACCTCAGACGGTCAGATAAATCACTAAAGAAAATAACAATGTAATAAATTATATAAATATTCAATAACAAATATTTTTTTAAGTATTTTTTATAAGGTCGAAGATTTATTTTCTTGTTTCAACCTATATAAATAAGGTTCAACCAATCATGGTCGTGCAACCAATCCGGTTTGAGCTTTTTAAAAAGATGGCAAAACTTGCGTAAATCTTAAAATTTTAGTCTGCAGATCTCAACCGCTTTTTTTTTCTTTTTTAAACTTTGTTGAATCCGGTGCAATTGGCATCTCTGTATATATTAAAAGCTGCAAACATGTATTAAAAAAAGACATAATGTTTAAATTTAATTTGAATTTCTCAAAATAATATTTAAAAAACGGAACATATCACGATACCGTAAAAGCCTGTAATGATTTTTTTATTACTTGTTCTATGACGTGTTTTGTCATTATAGCTTTAATTTTGATTAGAAATAAGTTTAGAGACTGTTTAAAAGAAGGCAGTGTTTAAAAGTAAATAGCTCTGTTCAAGAAAAGGAACAGATGCTTACATTAAGCACGATAAAGAAATTAGAGGAAAAAATATTTGAAAAAGGATTTGTAAATGATATTAAGGTTTTTCTAACATTATCGACCAAAATGCCAAATAAATAATAATGATTGGCATAATAAATTCATCGAGTAAAAAAAATGCTTACGAGATAAACACATAAAACCTACCTTTTGTGGGCCACACAAAATAATTTTTAAGCTTTCTCCTTTCTTTACTATCAACTTAATGTTTCGTTTTTAGAAAACGATAAATTTTATCTTAGAGACACATAAGATATGATAATTCAAATGCGTTAAAGTAGAATTGCAAACGTAGGTTTCTATTGTTTAAATTTCAATGAAGAAAAGAAATCTTTATTAATCTCTTATGGAAATATTATCAGGCTCCATTTTAAATATATCAGTTTTTCTTTTTCAAAAATAAAATTTTATAAAATTATGATAATACTATCATAATTTATTTAAATTTATTTTTGAAGCAAAACAAGTTTATTATAATCATCAGCAAATTTATAAATTAAAATTTAATTGTTTCCAAATTTTTGACTTATTTAAATGCATAAGAACTGATCTAAAGCTTTTCTAAATAAATAATTTTTTTAAAAAAAAGTGATGAAATTATTATAATTTATTTAAAATAGTTAAAATAAACTAAAACACAATCATCAGCAACTTTAGAAATAAAAATTTTAATGTTTCAAAATTTTCGACTTATCTAAATGCATAAAAGCTTATCTAAAAGTATTTCTAAATAAATAAGTTTAAAAAAAAATAATGACATGTGATAATAAAACAATAATACTGGAATGAACCTTAAATAAATCAAAAAATTATATAATGGAAAAATCATAAAATTAAATAGAATATCATAAAAATTTATAGAAACTAATATAATGTGAGAAAATGGAAATAATGACAACTTAGCACAACAAATAAGTTTTCAAAATCTTACCGGACATTTACTTTTATTTCCTTGATTGATTTAACAGAGCATGACTTGTAGATAGCATTGAAATATTTTTAATTGAATTATAAATTGTATAGTATTATACCAATATATTATAGCGAATAAAATTTCAATGGCCATATTGCCAAAACATAAAATATTACTCGTCTACCAAAATAGCGAATAAAATCTAAACTGAAATTGAAAAAGGGAAGAAAAAAAATAACAAAACAAAATCTTTCTTGATTAATAGTACCAGTGGCGTCATCTGTTATTAAAATTATGAAAAAAAGTCAAAGCAAATACTATTACAATATATTTAAAAAAAGTTTTGAAGCAAAATGAATTAAACATAATCATCAGCGAATTTATAAATTAAAAATTAGTTGTTTCAAAATTTTCAACTTATCCAAAAGCATAAAAACTTATCTAAAGCCATTCTAAATGAATCAGTTTTTTTAATGAAATGTGATTATATTACAAAAATACTATTACAATATATTTAAAATAGTTTTTGAAGGAAAATGAATTAAACATAATCATCAGCGTTTTAATAAATTACAAATTAGTTGTTTCAAAATTTTGAACTTATCTAAAAGCATAAAAACAATGCTATTCTAAGTAAGCGAGTTTTTAAAAAACTAAATGAATAAAAGGTGATAAAATTATTAAAATATTATTATAATATACATAACATTATTTTTGAAGCGAAATAAATTGAACATAATCAATCATCAGCAAATTTATAAATTAAAAACTAGTGGTTTTAAAATTTTACTAATCTAAAAGCATGCATTGAGAAATAAATAAATTAAAAACAGTGAACTTTGGAATAAAAGAAAAATACAATCATTAAGAAAATAATATAAATACTTGAACTAAGTTCTGATCTTCGTGATTCGGAGATTCATAATTGAAATGCATATTAAATAGGGTTTAATTATTTTAACTACAAAATTAAACACTATATTGCGTTCTACAAATGTAAAAATATGTCTTTTTATTTTGTTAAAATTTATTTTGAACTCCAGGAATTTATCTTACATTCTGTGATAAAAAATTAAGAAGGTTACTAAATGTTAAATAAATTTTTCTTAAATTTATAATTAAAATATATAAATTTATAATTAAAAAATATTAAGTTAAAATAAAAAATTAAAAGCATTTTTTTAAGTAGCAGTTTTTTAAACGCGTACAAAAAGATGTCTCTCTTTAAATTAGAAAAATAATACAGAATCGCACTTTTGACATAATTCACTTTACTTGAAAGAAGGAAAAAAATTAAATGACCACAAACACTTAAAAAAATGTTCTACTGTATATTATATATACTGTTCTTTTGAAAAAAAAAAAGAGAGAGAGAGAGAGAAAGAAATTATTAAAGTTTCATAATTCTGCTTATTTGAACTTTCCGTTTGTTCAGTTATTTTCTGTATATAAATACGATTATATGATTTTAATTAATGGTTATTGGTTCATATTGAAGATCTAATAGATATCCCAGCGTTGACACTACAATCTTTCCTCCATTCCTTTCAACACATGAAGAGTTTTTAAGTGTTCTGCACTCTCCGATTTGTGACTCTGGACTATTAGAATACGATACTCTCATAGATGACAGCACCATTAAGCGGAATAACACAGAAAGTCTAGTATTTCCCATTTTTTACGAAAGGTGAAACAGCCAAGCAAACCACATTCCACAGTTCATTTGATAAAACACAACTCAACTATAACCTAACTCCAATCTCCATTACCTAACGAAAAGTCTAGCTCCATTAACCAGTTAAATTTCGTTTTTATGGTTTTGGAACCATGCTAGTTGTAAATGGTTACAAAACCGTATAGTTTTGTATTCTTGGTTTTTTAATCATGCAAGTTGCACACGATTTCAAAAATTAATTAATTAACTTAAATTTCAGTTAAGAAATGTTTATTGGTCTATTAAGAGAATATTACCAGATTAAGATAAACGATTTAGTTCAGTTATGGGAAATTATAACCAAAATTTTCTTCTGAACTTGTTAATTAAAAAAGAACATTAGAAAGCAACCAGAAAGGTAAGTTTTTGTAACAAAAGCCGTCCTTGAATAGAAAATATAGCTAGGAATAAAGTTGATTTAAAATTCGGACGTTAATTTTTGCAACACTGTTATGAATTTGATTTTAATTTTCATATCAAAAGCTCCTTTTTTATTTAAGTTTTGGACCACCTTTTATAATATTGTGTGTGTTTTAAAGGTAAATTTATAAATTATACTTACATTTAAGATGATTTTATCACAAATTTATATACTTCATAGTTTCAATTACTAGAAACTCAATTTTAATTAGTAATTCTAAAAATACTTCAAAACATAATCGGAACCGGTCAGAGCCGGATTATACCTTTCGTAGGCCCTAGGCACAGAGCCGGATTATACCTTTCGTAGGCCCTAGGCATAGCCGTTTTTGGGCCCTCCCCTCCTTCCCCCACTCCTCCCCTCTTTTCTAAATATATGCTGAAATTTTCTTGCATATTTTTTTTTTACACTTTTATTAATATGGATTTTAATTTACGAATTTGTTTATCGAACTTTATCTGCAATACCGACAAGTGTAATGCATAAAGTAAGAGAAAAAAGAAAGGTACTCCTAACTTTAAAGAGAAAAAAAATGATAGAAATATAACATTTAAAAGAATAAAAAATTTACAAGTTTAGACAAGAAAAACAAGTTTAAAAAATACAAAATTCTCATATTTATTTTTTAAAAATAATTACAATTCCTAAATTAACTTATATAAACAAAACCAATGATTAAATAACGCAATATATTTCATACCTAATTAAACGGNCGAAATTTATCGTGAAAAGAAAAAAAATCAAACGCAGTGGAATCAGAAAAACAAAACTGTTTTTCTGATTCCACTACGTTTGATTTTTTTTTTTTTGATTTTTTTCTCCCAAGTTTTTCGTAGGCCCCTGAATTTCGTAGGCCCTAGGCACGTGCCTAGTGTGCCTATAGGTTAATCCGGCCCTGGAACCGGTTCTTCAGTTGCTATATTTCGTTAATTTTATTTCTATTTTTTTTTATACTTTCAAATTCGTTATTGTTTCTTCTACGAGGTAATAAAGGCCACTTTACTATACCCACAAAGTTGAGTATTTTTTATTTTATTTTGGTGGGGGTAAAATATGGTTTGTTACCCCTAGACCAAACTAGGAATTTAAGGACCCAGTTAGGCACTATAGAAAGGGCCCCGTAAAACAGAACACTTTTCAATTTTACGTTAACTTTAGTAAACTATTTATTCGTTTATTATTCTGTAGCTTGATTTACATGATTTATTAAAAATTTCCAACGACCTAAATATAATATTTAAATTTTAAACACCGTTTTTTAATAGGCCTAGTAAATGTCCAATTTCAGATTTGTAGAATTTATGAAATTCCAATTATGGGATTATTTGTTATTCCATAATATTGTTATCCATAAAATAGTAACACGGTCACTTTTTTTCTTTAAAGAAATTTATGTTTAAGGAACGAAAAAAGAGGTCAATTTGCAGACTAAGAGATCAATTTCTCTTTTATCTAATTTGCTTTGCTTCTTTCAAAAACAAAATAAAGCATTTTAAATTTCTTTTCAGTTCTAGTTTTTTTCCTCATTCCATTAACTTTTTAATTACCACAGTTTTTTTGGTATATGGTCGTAACTAGAAAATTACAAAGAAAAAAAAAAATCAAGGGTGAAACTTTTAAATCTTATTTCATCTATAGATTGTTATGTATACAGTTATTACATTACTCATATTTTTCAATTCGTCAAATAAAAGTTAATGTTGTGACAATACCAAATTTAATAACTCATTTAATAATAAAAATTTTTTAGAAAGTTTTTCCATAAAGCACACTTTTCTAATTCGATTTTTAATAAGGACAGTTTCAACATAAAGAAGCAAATACGTTATTAAACGCAATTCAAATAATAATAAATAAATAAACAAATAAAAGATATATACTTACTTTTTGACTATGTCACTAATCATTTTTCAAGCGGCAGTATCTCAGAAACCATTTTATTTACTAGCAGATGAGCGCGAAAGCCACAACAAATATTAAAATGAAAAACGGCGTTGCTATGTCATTTAAAAACAAAACAACTCACTTCAAATACAAAACCTATTTAGAATAATACATGTTTATTGCTCATAAGCAGGATCAGGTTGTTGTTTACATAATTCCGCAATACATCCGAAATTAAATGATTAAATAGAAAACTTATTGCCGACATAAGAGAACAGGTAAATTGATATCACACAAGATATAAACAAGGAACTATGATCGACTATTTTGGGAACAGAGATTTAGGTCAATCACAGATAAATAAAACTGTGTTCATATAAAGACCTTGATTGAATGATGGTCCAACTATTTTTTTTGTTTTGTTCCTTTTGAAGACGATCCTCCCTTACTTTATTTTGTTTTAGTCGAAATAATCCAAAGGCTGCACTGTTTTAAAAATAAAATAGGAAAATCTCGTAAAAGCATGCTACTACTTCATTATTTTACTAAGTAAGTTTTAACCACTACTCCAAAAAAAAAGCCTTCATTTATTTTAAAATTCAATTATAATTCACAAATCTTGAAACATTATTAATAAAGTAACAAATAATTATTTAAAATGAATCAACTTATATTTCAGTAAATGAGCCTTATGATTTTTTGCAAGCGTTTCTCCATTTATGCATTTAGTTTTTAAGATAACGCAAAAATAGTATTAAGAAGTTCGAACCATCAGTAACTCTTCCAGCTATATTATTCAGACCATTAGCTACCACCCCTCAGATATTTCGAGAAGTGAAAATGCGAATCCGTTTTAAAAAAATTTTAAAAATACAGAAGAAGTACGTTTTTGTGTCGGATTTTATAAGTTAAATTATCATTCGCTTTAGCTAATAGGCATATTTTAACTATTCAAATATTATTGTAGTCAAATGAGGGAGGGGTTTGTGCTTTGCTTATTTTTGCTGATAAAGGGGAGGTCGAGTTCATAAATATTCTTATGTAATATTTGAACAGCCCTTTAACAGGCATCTCAAACCATAGGTAAATGAGTCCTATAGCAAATAAGAATTACTATTTTCAAATTGCAGCTATATCTTTCTTTCATTTAATTGATAAAAGTATGGTTCCATAAAAAGGAAGAGGTAAGTTTTTGTTACAAATTTTATAACTTAATTTATTATGTGCACTAGTTTTCTAGAGTACGTCGGCGGACTCCTCAATTGCACGGGAGTGCCTTCGACAAACTCCTCTATTGCAGGGAAGTACATTAGGCAGACTCATCAATTGCACTGGAATACTTTTGGCAGACTTCTCAATTGCACGGGGAGTACATTAGGTGGGCTCCATATTTGCACTAGAGTACGTAGGCAGACTCCTCAATTGCACGGGATACGTTAGGTGGACCCGCCGGCCGAAGACCTCTTCGTGTAGTAAATGGTGATTGATGCACGTTAAATCTGTCGAGTCACAAAGTTCGCCATGTTCCCATAACAAATCATACCTCTGGGAGTACTGATCCAGGAGTCTTCTGGATTGGTTCAAAATTACAAAGCTACGGAGTTGAACATTAGTAGTCGTAAACCCAAAATTGGGTCGGCTGTTCAACGACGGTTATAAAATAAAATACATATACTTTAGGCGAACTCCTCAATTGCACTGGAGTATTTTAGGAGGGCTCAGCTGGTTCCTCAATTGCAAGTTAGTATGTAAAAAAGTGGAAGTATGTTTTTGTATTAAATTCTATAACCTAAATTATCCTATGCACTAGTTTTATAGAGAATTGTAAGCGAAATCCTCAATTGAACTGAAATGACTCCTTAATTGCACGGGAGTACGTTAGGCGGACTCTTCAAATGCACTGGAATACCTTAGGTGGACTCCTCAATTGAACTGGAATACCTTAGGTAGACTCCTCAATTGCACTGGAGTATCTTAGGAGGGCTCAGCTGGTTTCTCAATTGCAAGTTAATATGCAAAAATAATTAAAAAAAATATTTTTTTTTTGCTCACAGCACACTTGCGTCAGCAAAATAAAAGTTAGAAATGCTAGGTTAAAAGAAATATAAGCATCTTACACAATCCTTCAAGCTAAATACAAACTTCGCTTTTCATATACTATTCCTTTTATAAAACTGTACTATAATTTCATTTCGATGTTTTGAAACACTTTAAAAAATAGAGCAATTAATTTATAGCAATAAAAATAGAGCAATTTTAATAAGTATTTCTGTCATTCTTACATAAAATATTTTACAAAAAGAAAGGATGAAAAATAGTTCAAACAATGACACAATACATATAACAAATTTATTAAAATAATTTGAAATTTTTTTAAACAATATCTTCACATACGTAATACTGACAAATTTAAAAACTTTCGAAAAAATAGTAAAAAAAAAGTTTTATAAGTTAATGCAATATTAAATAGAATATTATATTTAATATTGCATTATTATTCGTTTCTTTTGACTAATATTATCTAAGATGAAACATATAATACTGACATACTTCGAAAGAAAAAAGACATAATTTCAAGCACATATCAAAACATTAAAAATATGAAAGTGAATATAAAATGGTAAAAATTATTTCAAGGAATAAAAAATTGCGAAAAATCGTAGTTTAAAAAATCATTACAAAACATGGAATGATAAAAAAATAATACTAAGTATTATAACTTTTAAAGTAAAAAAAAAATACACACACACAAATTATACACATAGTTTTCTGTACTAATAAATTAAAAATAATAGAATATAAAATCAATTATTTTTTAAGAAAGTGAGGATACATGAACATATTTATTTTACACAGAATTATTGCTTAGAATTTCAAATATACAAGGTGTTCTTTAATTACAAGCAGCATTGAGTTTTAAATTTAACTCACAAAATAAACTATCAAATTCAATAAAAGTCAGTGTTGTTTCTTTGGCATGTGCAAAATGCAGTCCTATAACTTGGATTTTCCATATAGTCAAGAATTTAAGAAGGCAGGTTTTTCTTTGAAAAAACTCCAAAGTCGTTTTGGATCATCTTTAATGTTTCTAATAAAAAATGCTAAGCGATTGTGAATATTGGTAGCTTGTTGTTCATTCAATTTCTCAAGCAAGTTATACTTCTTGTTGAACATGTAAGTTATTTTTCTTTGTGAAACAGCAGCATCAAGTTTTTGGAGTGCCTAAAATAAAATAATAAGACAGATTGAATAAATAAACCCAAGAAACTGAAGCGGTTAAGATATTGCTTGATTAAAAACTTCATTCATTTCAAACATATACAAATTGGAAGCAACAATCGACGTACTTCAAGCGCTTAAAAAATAGGAGATATTGCTTGATTAAAAACTTTTCAAAAATATACAAATTGGAAGAAACAATCGACGTAATTCAAGCGCTTAAAAAATAGGAGATATTGCTCGATTTAAAAACTTCATTCATTTCAAACATACACAAATTGGAAGCAACAATCGACGTAATTCAAGCGCTTAAAAAATAGGAGATATTGCTTGATTAAAAATTTCATTCATATCAAAAATAAACAAATTGGAAGCAACAATAGACGTGATTCAAGAGCTAAAAAATAGGTACCAATTTTAAAGACTTGCCAAACGTGAATGATAAAAAACGAAAGCGATTTGAAATATAAAACGTAAAGTTGCCAACGAAAAATAGAAAAATGAAGGTGAGAAAAAACCTAGAAAAACCGCAGTCGCTCAGAGACAAGTCTTGAAAATGATCATTCCCTAAATCCATGAAATTATTCATTTCGTTAGGTACGTATTGGGAGTACAAATTAGTTCGGTCCGTTTTTTAAAAGATGGCTCTGCTGTTATCAATGTTCCATAGTGACAGCTAGTTTCGGTGGTTTCAGAGTGATTAAACATCTGTCAATAATAGTCAGTTTATATCGCTTTGAGTTTCATACAAAAACCCTGCTTTTTACTTCGTTGAATATATCAAATTTTGTGGTAACTAAGCAGCATTTGCGAGAGGTTTTATGTTTTTGCTTTAATTGAAAGAAAAGTGCAACTGAAGAGCATCGAATGCTTGTAGAAGTTTATGGTGACAATGCTCTAACTGATAAATCATGTAGGGAATGGTTTCGACGTTTCAAGAAAGGTGAATGATGATACTATGAGCTGCTACAACCTGGTGATTCCATTACGGGAGATCGGTATAGGCTACAATTGATTCGTTTGAGCTGTGCATTACGAGAAAAAGGCCGGAATACTAGCAAAGACATGACAAAGTTGTTCTTCTGCATAATAACGGTCGGCCTGATGTCGATAAATTATTTGGAAACGCTCAAGTGGGATATTTTACCGCAACCACCGTATTCGCTGGACACTGCTCCTTCTGATTACTGGTTGTTCCGAAGGATGTAGCACGATTTGGCAGGTCACCAGTTCACTTCTTTCGCAGAAATCGAAAATTGGCTCCTAACTTAGATCGCCACAAAAGGCGAGACATTTTTTCGGGATGGAATTCGAAAATTGACTGAGAGATGGGAAAAAGTAGTAGCTAGCAATAGACAATACTTTGATTAATCTGTTCATTCATTTTGTTCTGAAATAAATGCATTTTTGACTACAAAAAAATGGACCAAACTAATTTGTACTCCCAATACATTTAATTACAACAGTTGCAAATTTTTCAACAAAATGTTCCTTTTTTGTGGAAATTATCGACTTATAATTATATATATGTAACATAAAAAGCTTCTATTAATCTTTTTATGTTAGTTCTTCACTATAAAACTCAATCCTAATTATTTATTCAAATCGAACTGCTTTCTCAAACTTTTAAAAGCCACATCCTGTTTCTAAATCTATTTTTGGCCCAAGTATGCATAAATTTAAATAAAGACATTTTTCCCTTTAAGCGTCGTGGGAATCAATCAACATAGTTCATAAACCAATAGTAATTTCTGAGATTTCGCTCTTTTCCCTAAATAGAGACATTTTCGGATTTTTTGCAAGATTTTCCTACCAGAAAGACTGATCGCTCATGGAGTAAACTACACTTTTCCTTTGCCACTCAACAAAGTATGACAAATCACGACGTTTTCATTAAAATCCTGTGTCTGTTTTCCTGCTCGGTTCAACTGCATCATTTTACATATATATATATTACAATAATGAATGAGCGAAGTTGCTTACTTTATTTTAAAGAAAATACATTAAAACCTCTCGGGAACGACCACTCTCTGTCCCACAGTGAAAAGGCCGTTAATGGAGGTTGGTTGTTCTTAGGGGTTACCTTCATTGAGTTCAAAATGTTATCGAAGGAGCATGATTTTTCACGAATGATTTTAATTTTATTCAGTGTCATTTTCTTGGTGCAGAAATACCACTTGTGTTGGAGTGATGTAAACCGATCGATGAATGAACTTTAGCGTCAATAAAAATTATGTTAACTCATATAATTATGTGCAAAAACTAATTTAACGATTATGAATTATAGAACGACTTTCAATAAGTAAACAATTACGTTTTTTGCTTAAGCTTGCATTTAATTTTATATCATAAAAATTAGTTAACTTTAAAAGCTTGTACGTATAAAGTGTTTAGTTTTTCCTAAAATAACTTTTTTTTTACTCTAAAAATAAATCATTGATAGCATTGTCGTTAGTGCCCTGTGACTGCAATGTTGAGGTTGTAGATCGCTCTCTAAATAAGAACAAGCCAATCAAAAATATTTTGAATACATTTTAATGTACATATTTGTTTGGTTAATATTTTTTTGTTTTGATAGTTTCTCATGTTTAATTATTTAAACGTAGAATTGCCCGGTCACCGGGAGATGTTTTCATGGTCTCTCCTTAAAGTTTTTTTTCACTAAGTCTGTGTAAAAAAAATTCCGTGCCTCCCTAAAGTGGTCGTAAATAGAGGAGGTTACATAGGTGGTCTTTCCTGGAAGTTTTACTGTAATAAAAAAATGAAATAAAATTATGAGTTGTGTCTTTTATAATTAAAGCATCTGCGTGTAATAATTGCATAAAACAAACACTAAATAAAAAAAAAAGTCAATTAGATTAACAAGTTTCAATACTTCAAGAAAACGTTCCTCCATTTTGTCTTCTTTCCAGTAGTCTTGTTTACCATTGCTTTCTAAAACCATCCACATAACGACAGTCTTCAAGTAATAAGAAGCCAAAATCTTCCAGTCCTCTTTATCTCTCAGTAGCTAAAAAATTAAGAGGTCACAATTGTAGTGCCAAAAAAAACTGAATAACTTATGCTCTAATGATCGAATCTTCATGTTCTAGGACTCTATCTTGATGGTTGGAGAGATAGACCTGAAATAAGCTGATTAATCAGTGCAGACGATAGATTAATTTACGAAACCAGAAACAAAAACGTACTTTGTCTGAATAAAAAAACATTTTCCCCCCACGAATTTGAATTTCCGACCCCCAAAATATAGGAACAGTCGCTATGTGTGAGATAAACTTTCAATAGAAAGAGAGGTCAAAAATTTGGACCTCTAAATGTTAACTTTACTTTTCCCGTATTTCGCCATATCTGTAGAATTTTTTTAAGCGAACTGAAAAACTTTTGCACACAAAAATAATTTGTTTATAATTGTGAAAATATTTATTAAAATTATTTTAATGTATATATTTTTTATTTTATTTGATAATAGTCAGAATTTTGAATTCCAAGAATGTAAAAACATTTTAATTTGCTTAAAAAGTTTTCAAGATTTGGAAAAATTTTCAAAAAAAAATAACATTAAGGGGTTCAAACTTTGTACATTTGTCCTGACCAAAACCAATGGGGATCATAGTTCCGAGATTGCGGCTACCCATAATTTGGGGGTCAGAAATTTGAATCCGTCGAAAAAAATGCTTATTTAAGGAGAGAACGTTTTTGTGCCGAATTTCGTAACTTAAAATATCATTGGCATTAATTAATTGACATATTTGAAATCATCCCCTCAAACCATGAGTCCTAGAATATGAAGATCCGATATTTAGATCAAAAGTTAGTCAGTGTGGTCCGTTATTTGTTTTGTACACTGTACAGCAAATAAAGAAACAAAAAAAAAGCTAAAAGAATATAAAATACCTTTAACAATTTGATAATAGGTTTTACACAGCCAACATTATATATAATTTTTTCTTCAGGATCAGGAAAATGAGATCGCCATAAACACTTGGCTTCTTGTCTATTGATTGGCATCTGTTTTGCAGAACTCGAATAAGGTTTTGGAACAAGAAATGCCTATAAACATAAGTTAGAAGACGGTTTCATTCAATTAAATTAAATGATGGTTTATCTAAGAAATACATCGTAAATATGACTATAAACATTATGTAATATAGAAGCGTCAACACTATGCTTTCTTTTCAGGTATTGCAGTATAACACAATGTTTACTTAGGATGCTAATGTTAGAAGAAAAAAAAATAAAGATGCTTTTCTTGGGCAACTTTAATTTTGAAACAGTTTCAAATATAAAAATCAGGATGGTTTGGGGGATGGAGTCTTCTCTCCCTCATGAAGTGACGCGGATGTAATGACTGGTCGATTCTTATACCGTTCTAAGCTTGAACCCAGGGCCAGTGCCGGATTAAGCGCACGCGGGGCCCTAGGCCATACAAATTTTTGGGACCCTTAGATAATTTTTTTTCTCGTATATTTTTTATTTATTCAAATATAAAAGTATTTATACACCGAAGAGCCATTACATTATGACCGCCCTCCATCTATAACAATGGGCTCGCCCAGGTTTTCATGGTTTCTCGCCCAGGAACAATGTTTTCATGGGGCACATTAGGATCCATAATCCTCATAGAACAATCCCTGACGTCTGTAAGCTACTTGAACATAGTTGCAGACCAGGTTCACCCTATCATGGCAACAGTTTTTCCTGTGGGGGATGGTGTTTACTAACAGGATAATGCACCATGTCATAAAGGTCGAATCGTCATGGATTGATTCGAGGAACATTCCAGTAACTTTCAAGTCATGTCTAGGCCCCCAAATTCACCTGACTTTAATCCAATAGAGCATTTGTGGTCTTACTTGGAAAACCAAATTCGTGCTGCAACGCTACCCCCTCGCACCAGTTGGTGAGCGCTTGGTACCAGATACCTCAGACTACCTATCAGCACAGATTTTCCTCTCGATACAACGCAAATTGGTTAGTTCTACGAAAAAGTCCACCATGAATGCCAGTTTGTTTCGGTTCTTAATCCATGAGTTTCTTTGTCTTCTGGGTTGGGTTCAAAATTACAATGCTACAGAATTGAGCATTGACAATCTGAATTGGGTCGGCTGTTTAGTAAGGGTTATAAAATAAAATAGAATATTTGATACAAGAATAGCTTTCGCTTTCCGATTAGATGACCAAGATACGAATCCTGACAATGGCTGGTTGATTCGTGCATTGGTTGATTGATTTTGAATTCTCACGCCAACCTGATATAAACTTCCTGTCGTGATAGACAGATTCTTAGGTTAGAGCCCCCAAACCATAGCGCTACACGAAGTATGATTTGAAGATTCTTTTTTTTTTTTTTTTTTTTTTGTACAACGCAAAACACGCATCTCTCACTCATTTGAAAAGTTCGCCATTCAAAAGAGTTTCTTCCTAATGTTCCCTTGTCTTCTGGATTGGGTGAAAAATCACAAGGCTTTCCACGAACTAAAAATTTCATTACTACTTTTTGAGTATTTAGCATATTTTTCAACTGGGCATATGCTTTCGAAATGGAAATAAAGTAAAAAAACATTAATTGCCAAGTTGCGCGGTAATAAAAAAAGTTTTAATGAGTACCTGAGCTTTTTATTTCACATAAAAAACTTTATAGTTAGAAATTACTGGAACACTATAATAACAAGTAAAGTCTTGGTGATTCTGATTAAAGTGCAGATAACCATAACATTTTAAACAAAATCAAAATATGAAAAAATAAATACTCAAATAGCATTAATAATAATATTTTCTTCTGTTGAGGGGTGGAGAAGGTGGGGAGATGCTTACCTTCAGTGTTTTACCAACTTTGGCCTCTACTCTGCCATCAAGATAGGTTCTTGGCAAGATAAGAGAACAAGATACTACTGGAACGAGATCGACATCAATTTGACCACCGTTCCTTTTCTTAAGTAAAATAGTTCTAGCCGGTCCAGATTGTTTGGTACACACCTTTTGACATGAATAGAATAAAAAAATATAAATATAGTTAATATATTCACAATCATAAAATAAATTTTTTAAAACTAAAAGCAGAACTTGTAATCATTTGATCATCAAAAAAGATTTATTGCCGATAAATTCTCGACTAACTAGAGTATTTAAATCTTATTTGGGCGTCAGTGACTGGGTGATTAAAAATGTTTTAACTGTGTCCCGAACGCTACGAACAGTTATCGTCAGACAAAAAAAATTTATCGTTAATCAAAATTTTAAGGGTTATATGTTTGATCACAGTGCAAGTTTCAATCATTTCCAGATTGCCACAAGTAAAATTAATATCGACATTTTAAAGACCACAAATAATTTACCGCCAATAGCAATTTCTAACTACTTTCCGACTAGCTAGAGAGTCCCCAATTTTTTTTTTTTTTACTACGGAACCCTAAATAAAAAACTTTGTTTCGGCGGCACCCCGACTTCATAAATAAAGTTAAGATAATTGTGAACGTTATAACTATAAAGGCCTATTTTAAATAAAATTATTAGAAGTAGGGTAAACTAACCAGTGAAGGAACACTTAAACTTCGTTTGCCTTTTAAAAAATAATATTAATTTCAAAATTCGTAATTTTAGTTAAATGACAGTGTCAACATATTTATTACTAATTGCAAATTATGTAAAAAAATTGTAGAGAACTTACATAATATTGTTTTAAAGTTTTGGAGGTTCAAATAACAAGTAGTAAGAAGACCAAGTGAAGGAACAGCTCTTAGCAGTGAATGAACACCCAGTTAAGGAACACTTAATTTTAGTTATTTTTTAATGCTCTTTATTAATTTAGAAGCCATACAAATATTTAAAAACAAGCCTATTATTGAAATTATAACATATAAATACTTGGAAAATGTTAACTTTTTTTTGTAATCATGAATTGAAAATTAAAGTGTCAACATATTAACACATACTGTTTTTTCACTGGGAAATCTATGCCCAGTAAAGGAACATGCCTGTTCCCTCACTCGTTAGAAGTTGTTTTTCGTATTTTTAACATACTTTTGATGTGGAACATCACTAAAAGTACAAGAAAATTAAAGTTTATCTTTTATTTTCATTAACTTAGAAAAAAACCTGTTACACCTGTTATGTAAAGGAAAACTTGTTCCTTCACTGGTTTTTCATCGTTGGGTGATCCAGTAAATAAACACCCCCTTATCTCAGTACCTAAGCTGAAAATGAACAAAATAAGACAAATTGTACTTTACTTCGAAATGAAAACTTAAAATAACTGCTATTAAACGTTGAAAATGGTTAATAGGAAAACTTATCTCTCTTTTGGTATAAGTAAAATTTATCACCTTTTGAAATTTAGACCACTTTTTGACCTTCTTTCCCATTTGTCAATGAAGAAATGTTTCTAACAAAGATGGAGATGGCTCAGCTATATACTAAGTACAGAAATAAACAATCCTGCAAATGTTGCAAGCTCATAGGCGCCTGACGGAGAGAGAAAAAGGGGGAGACCGAGACTAACATGGCAAGATGCATTAAGGAAGTAGAGCAGGATTAACTGGATGGGAAAAAGTGCCTTGCCTGGCCAAAGACAAGAAGTGAGTGGAGGAAACGACTCGGGGCCTTATGTGTCAGTTCGGCACGAAGAGGATAAGTAAGTAAATTAATTATAAGTCGAAGAAAACGTAAATAATAATTTTAAACTTGCCTGCATGCACGATCTCGGTGGAGTGTATGATCTAAGAGCTTTGTCAACTACACTTTGCAGCCACTTCCGTACGCTTTCGGGAATCAGGTAACCATCTTCAAATAAAGAACTAGCAAGTCTAGGATGTTTCAACAGGGCAGCTTGATGGTTTTTCAAGCGATACTTTACAAAGCTTGGTGCCTGCGGTTGGTGGATGACCTGAAACAAAAGTTAACTTTCATAGAAACACGCATTAAAATAATCAATCCCCAAATTAATTTGTTCGAAAATAGGTTATTCATTATTTTTTGATAATTGATCTCATAATTGGTGAATGAAATGGGCTACATGTGACGTAGAACAGAAATCTCTACCTATGGCTAACACTTCGCATGCCTTCACCATTAGCGCATGGAGAGTCATAGGAGAAGGAATTACGTTAGTTTCTGCTTTGATTTTCAACTAGATAAAAAAAAATTAAGTTAGGAAACTATACAGAACTGAAAACTACATTTCAAAGGCATGGAATCGGTCTTCTCTCCAGATGGCGTATTCGAGAGTCGGATCGCGAATGATTAAGTGTTGCAAATCAGTACTTGCAACTTGAGAAGTGATTATGCCCAATCGTAATTTAAATCAGATTTAATAGGATACCGATAAGCGACGTCACACTTATGCATCGAACCTGATTGGCTTCTGAACCGACAACGCCGTGATTTACCTATGATGACGTCAGTTGCAGGCATTCAATTATATTAAGTGTTTTGGAGAAGCAAATACTATTGGCAAAAAAAAAAAAAAAAATGGAAATGACATACCTTCCATCTACTACGGATATTCTGTAGTTTTACGCAATATTTTTTCTAGTGATAGCAAACCCTATTTATTGATATTTTAATAAATGTGAATTAAAATAGTTTTACTCATTACTACCAATAAATAATTCAAACCATATTATGAGAGGTTAGATAAAGAAATATTTATGCTCTCAAATTCTAATAAAGGCTTCTAGCTATCATAATTCTTAAAAATTTTCACAGCCAATGATTAATATAGTTCTTTTTACGTTTGTAATAATTTGGAGTAATAATTTTACCTTAGTATGACTTCTTACTAGAATAGAAATCAAGTTAAGAAAGCACTATTAATAAGTTAGCAATAGGTTCCAACCTCATTATTACTACCAAATTTTAACTATATAATTTAGGATTTTGTTCAGTGCAATTTTTCAAAAAAAAAAAATCCATCCTGAAATAGTATGTCGCATTTTGGAAAAGTTTATAGAAAATATTTTGTGTAAAAAAAAATTAGGTTAGATAGATACTGTTAATAGGTAGCTATTTATTGAAAAAAAAAACAATAAAATTTTTAAAGGAAGCAGATGAAAGTAGAATATAATATGGGATAGTAATTACATCAATATTATACTTGCTAAGCAATAGTTTGAAAATATAAAATACAATTCTTTTCAAAATAATAATAATTTAACTGTACATAATTTTAAGATTCTAACTATGATTTATAATATATATTTATGGACAGTTTTAAAGATTCCTTTTACGACAAAATTAAATAACTGAACCAATATTTTACTGGAAAACAAAGGTAATTTGAGTAGTATTTGTGCATAATTTGAAGTGCAAAATTTAAGTCTAGTACAAACTAGAAATTTAAAAGAAAAGGCTGAAGTTTGAGTTAAAAAAGCGATTTGGCATTTAATAAAAAAAATCCTTTAATTTATCCAAATAAGAATTTGTGCCTCTTGACCTATTATAAATTGATGTTTCTCTTGTTAACCTTTTGCGGTGCTGAAAATTTTAGTAAAAAGAGAAGAAAAAAAAAAGTTCTACTTAATTTTTTTTTCATTTTTTAAAATTTGAAGTGGATGATAAATAACTACGTAGTTTAACTCCTTAAAATATTACTATTTCAATATTTTATATAATTGCCAAGAGTAAGAGAGGAATGTTTTATCTTACTATTTCTAGAAGAATTAATATTACATCTTCGCCCTTTGCAAAACATTTATAACATAATAGAACTAAAAATTGTTTATGCATTTTACTTAAAATAATCAAAGGTGGTTCGTGCTTAATTTTAAGATCCACTGTATACAGCAAGATTATACATATATGTAGATTGTTAAAATGCTTAATATGTATGCATATTTTTTGAGCAAAAAGGGAGTCAGACAAACTGCTTTATTACATGTCCTTGAAATAAGGAGGGTGGCTGGCAATACCTTAACAGGGTGCGTAGCCAAATCTTTGAATCAAAAATAAGCACTTTTTAAAAACTTTAAAAGCACTTTACAAAAATTTTCAAGCACTCAAAAAATTCATATTCAATCAATGATATTATTGAAAAACAAAAACTCTTTATAAACAGTTTTAGCGTTAAAAAAAACCCAAAAAGAAACGGGCGTAAATCGAAACAATCAGTACTTTCCCACATCACCGAGTGAATTCAACTTGACCCTGAACTCAGAACCCTTACCCCCTACGTCAAAAAAAGCGTTAGAAGTAAAATAAAATAAACAAGAACAAAATTAAAATAAATTAAAAAGAAAGACATTACATAAGGATCTGATATTCTCTATCCGAATTGGAGCACTCGGGTTTCGGTTTCAAGTGTGCGCATATGCGCAAGTCATAATGTGGGTACGACATGAAGTCCGCGTGAATGATTACGTAGCAAACTCCCCATTTTTCGTGAAATGCATGGGATCCACCAGATATCACTGAAGGGGGAGAAAAAATTATTCGAAAAAAAAGCACTTTTTAAAAACGCCAGCTGAAAAAAGTACCTTTAAAAGCTTTTAAAAACGAAATCCCCAAAAAAGCACCTTTAAGTACTTTTTACAAACGCTACGCACCCTGCTTAATCCATTTGAAAAGAACATTGAAAATTTATAAATTTTAAAACCGATGTTGTATGTAAAACGTAATTAGAAATTAATTTATTGGTAAAAATGAATTGATTCCAACAAAATAATATTCTTATTTTTCTTTCTTAATTATAAGGAATTCACCTTAAATATAAAGAACTCTATTAGTGGTATTTCTCGTTATTTAACTACTCTAAAAACTTCATAACTAAATTTGTTTCGAAATCATATTATATTCTACATAAAATACTTCCTTTGAACCAAATATTTACCCGTCAAGGATTTAATTTCATAATCAAAATATTATTTTAAAAATTTAATGTCTTTAGTCGTCGATTACAGGCTCCCATTTGACAGGATGCCTGAGGCCGTTGCCACCTTGGTCTCCCAATCTGCACGCAGCTGGGAGTTAGGAGAGCATGTAAGATACTTCAAATAAATTATGACAATTAGAACGTTTTGATAAAAACTATAAACAAGCATGTTTGAATGTGAAATATACCTCAAATTCTGAATCATTGAAAGGTAGCTTCAAGATCATGTTGATGTCGAATTCATCGGGCATCGAAACACGAAGATCCGAGTAAAAGCTGCCAGTGAAATAAAGTTCTCTGTACAAAAATTTGAACAGCTCGTCCTCTTCTTTCATCTTTGCAACGAAGGTATTGAGAAAATCGTGCAAAATTTGATTGTTCTCCTTAATGAGAGCATCATTCAGTTTAATGCGTCTCAAAATTTCTTTTAAAATAGAAACTCCTGGTTTCTTAAATTTTTGGGCCTGGACCACTTCTACTTTTTTGTCTGGCATTGCTCTGGAATGAGGCTCCGAATCTCCCTAAAACAAAGAAAAAGAGATAAAGTGGCTTACTCACTCATAGAATGTAAAAATATTTCGACATTTTTTACACTTTTAAAATTATTTTACCTAGAATGCATTATAAACATAAAATATAATATAATCCGAATTTGTTTTTAAGCATCTCAAATTTGGCTAGGTTAAACTCGAAGGGTTTTTTAAAAAAAAAAAAAAAAAAAATCCATTTGAAAAAACTCATAATGGTGCCCAGAATTTCAGATTGTTCTTCAAAAAATAAACAAATATTTTTTTTTATTTAAAAAAAAAAAAAAAGAATTATATTTAAGAAACTTTTTTCTAAAAGTTACATTGTTCAAAAAACAATTTATTTAAATTAACAAAAGTTTATAACTGACTAGCATTCTTCAATCTCCTTTTTTTTTTTCTTTTTTTTTTGGGGGGGGGGAATACGCTTTCTTAACGCCTAGTTTATTACACACATACATTGCCAAATGAATGTACAATGCTCCAAAAAAAAGGACCACCCTGAATAACTTTTGATCTGATGATCGGATCTTCATCAGGGGTCTGTCCAGACATTTTGTGAAGGGTCCGGTTTTCGTGAAATTGTGAAAAAATAACTCACATTCTTTCAACCAGGGTTTGCTTTCATGAATTTGCAAGGAGTTTTTAAGCTGTAAATAGATACAAGATTATGCTCGGCACTGAAAAATTATAATAAAAAAAATTAAATTTTCAAAAATAAACAGCAATTGCTGCTTCTAAATTAGAGATGCAACATACAAATATTAGGTATTTAGTCTATATACTGCTGAACGCAGAATATTCATTTCGGACGAATAATGGAAGAATCGTCTGCCGAAGACAAAACTTAATTCATTTACATCCATCTTTCTTGTTTTCTGCCCTGGAAAGGGTTTATTCGTTTAATAAAACAATAATGAAGATAAACAAATTTGTGGAGGGTCCGATTAAAAGAAAAATCATTTTGTGAAGTGTCCGTTTTTATGAAAAAATGTTTTGTGAAGGGTCCGTTAACGGACCCAAATTTCTTCGAAACAGACCCCTATTCATGTTCTAGGATTCAATCTTAATAGCTCGAGGGGGTGACCTTAAATATGCTAATTAATAAGTGCCGACAATATTTTTAAGTTTCGAAATCAGACACAAAAACGTACTTTCTTTGAATAAACATACCTTTTTCTCTACGGATTCGGATTTCTGACCCCAAAACTATAGAGGGTAGCCGCAATCTGAGAAATATGATCCCCATAGAGTTTGGTCAGGACAAAAGATAATTCCATGCAAAAAATGACTTTTAATATATATTTAATATTATTTCATTTAATAATGGTCGAAAAATTTTTTAATTGTAAGGTATAAAATTTTTTTTAATTCATTTTAAAGAATATAATTTTGCATGGTAAAATACAAAATTTTAACAAAATCGGTTAAATAGTTCCTGAGAAATTGAATTTCAAAAAAGGCCAGATGTTTAAAACTCTATTTTTCAGAAACTATTTTGCTGAAATTTTGCATTTTGTCACGTAGAATTAATTATATTCTTAAAAATGATGCAAACGTTTATATACCTTACAATTCAAAGTTTTTCTGCATGGAATTATTTTTTATAAACTAATTTTATAATTGAGTGCCACATTTTTCAATTCGCTTAAAAAGTTCTCGAGATATAGCGAAATACGCAAAAAGGTAACATTAAAGGGTCCAAACTTTGCAGCGCTCTCCTGACCAAACTATTGGAACCATATTTCTCAGATTGCGGCTACCCCAATATTCTGGATGTCATAAATCTGAATCCGGCGAAAAAAAGGTATGTTTAGTAAAAGAAAGTATGCTTTTGTGTCTGATTTCGTAACTTAAAATATCGTCGGCACTCATTAAAACCATTCAAATTAAGTCCTAGTATGTAAAGATCTAATCATTAAATAAAGAGTTATTCAGGGTTAGTCTTTTTTTCCCCGGCGTGTTGTATAGTTGCAGTAGAACCATTTTGTTCATACATAGTCAAACAATAATTGTTTTCATAATTTTAAGCTACCTTACAATTCGTACTTAAAGGTATATAAGAATCTTTGAATCCTCTTATTTGTTATAATACTGTTTGAATTAGTTAAATTTCTATATGTGAATGCTTATTGTAAGTCCTAAACAGAAAATTTATTTTTGAAGTACATGTTATTAGGATTTTAAATGAACAATCTTTTCATATAGTTATTTTCTAACTTTAGCGTTAGTATATAACATATTATTGTGAGTCAAAATATTAAATTTTATTCTAATAATTCTACAACTGTTTACTGGAAAATATGTAATGATGTAAAATTTATTAAATAAATGGAAAATATTTAGTGCATTAAGAGAGAATGAAAATTTTCATCTTCATGTTGTTTCACAGGTCAGGAGCAGCAACAGTTCTTAATTTGATTTTAATGCAAGCATAAATTAAAAATGAATGGGCTGAAAGATAGTTTATATTAAAATAAATACGAAATAAGAAGAAAAAAATACTTTCCAAACACCAGTGAAAATCAAGGGACAACACAAAGTAATACTTTCCAAACACGAGTGAAAAATCAAGGGACAACACAAAGTAATACTTTCCAAACACCAGTGAAAATCAAGGGACAACCAAACACCAGTGAAAATCAAGGGACAACACAAAGTAATACTTTCCAAACGCCAGTGAAAATCAAGGGACAACACAAAGTTATACTTTCCAAACGCCAGTGAAAATCAAGGGACAACACAAAGTAATACTTTCCAAACGCCAGTCAAAATCAAGGGACAACACAAAGTAATACTTNAAAGGTATATAAGAATCTTTGAATCCTCTTATTTGTTATAATACTGTTTGAATTAGTTAAATTTCTATATGTGAATGCTTATTGTAAGTCCTAAACAGAAAATTTATTTTTGAAGTACATGTTATTAGGATTTTAAATGAACAATCTTTTCATATAGTTATTTTCTAACTTTAGCGTTAGTATATAACATATTATTGTGAGTCAAAATATTAAATTTTATTCTAATAATTCTACAACTGTTTACTGGAAAATATGTAATGATATAAAATTTATAAAATAAATGGAATAAATTAAGTGAATTAAGAGAGAATGAAAATTTTCATCTTCATGTTGTTTCACAGGTCAGGAGCCGCAACAGTTTAGTTCTTAATTTGATTTTAATGCAAGCATAAATTAAAAATGACTGGGCTGAAAGATAGTTTATATTAAAATAAATACAAAATAAGAAAAAAAACCGTTACCCACTTTCCTTACCTTTCTTTTTTAAAATGCAAATATTTTTTTTTTTTTTAAAAATCAACACATTTTTTTTAATTTTATTGATTATTTACAAGGAACTAAAATAAAATATAATACACAAGTTTTAAGTTCACATTTAATTTACCATCAGTTTTTTTTATCCCAAATTATCTCGGGCAAATGAAAAAAGTTAAAAGATTAGTCTTTGTATGATAGTGTTTAAATCAAGGGACAACACAAAGTAATACTTTCCAAACACCAGTGAAAATCAAGGGACAACATAAAGTAATACTTTCCAAGCGCCAGTGAAGTTATACGCCATTTTTTTTTCAATGTAAATTAAGCAATCATCATACAATTACATAAAGCACGTGTGCAGTCCTACAATCATACAGTAAAGCTCTCAAACAAATTTTGGCAAACTTCCAATAACAGCAGATTATTATTATTATTATTGCTTCTGGTCTAGTAAAAACATGGTAAAACAAAACACACCGACAAATTCTGCTACGCCCGAGTTTTTTCGGGATGGTATATATTTGCAATATACCCGAATTAACTCGGTATAATCAGGAAAGTGGTTAAGAATGATAATCAGAGAAACATATTTCTTCATAGTTAAATTTGATTATTTTTATTTAATGCGAAATACTACTCGAGGTTTTTACAAATCAATATATTCTTTCCATAATTCATTCAATATGTAGTTATTAGAAAGAAGAAAAAACGTTAAGAAATGTCTTTCTTCTTCATTCAATTCAATAATTTACTAAAAATAACAGAAATATTAAAAAATAATAGATTAGTAATCGGATATAAATTTAATTACAGGTTTCTAAAATCATAACTGGTTAAAAAAAATTCATAACTCCCCGAACCTCCCGAGACCCTTTCACTGAACCCTACGATTCTGCGGAAAACCATTTGGGAACCGCTGTTCAAAATTAATTCAAACATATCATTAGGTCACTCGCTGTTAAAGACTAATTCAAACATATCATTAGGTCACTCCCTGTTTTAAACTAATTCAAACATATCATTAGGTCACTCGCTGTTTAAGACTAATTCAAACATATCATTAGGTCACTCGCTGTTTTAAACTAATTCAAACATATCATTAGGTCACTCGCTGTTTTAAACTAATTCATACATACGTGGGTGATTGAGAGCCCAAATCAAAATTCCGGAAAATTTCTTGAGTAAAAAAGAAAAAAGTTTAAATCAAAAAATTAGAAAGAATTTTAAACAAGGGTTTTTCCTTTTTTCTCAATATTTCTTAGTTTATTTAAAATATATTTAAAATTTTACGCATACCTATACCATTTACATGTACCTATGATGACCTGGAGAGATAATTGAAACTTACAAATATGTCTTTCTTTCTTGAGTTTATGACTATAATAACTATTTACTGATAAAAAATGAATATTAATATTGAATATAAGCTTATCTGGCTCTCCCTTACAAGCAAATAAAATAAACTGTGTTTTTAAGTTCCACCATTGAAAATTTGATTTCCGGAAACTTCCGGATCACGGTTAGCAAAAAATCCGGAAATCAGGATTTTTTCCGGAGCACAATCAGACCTGTACTTTTCATTTGGTCACTAAGTAGACATTCCATCCATATACCGTCTATATATTGCATAAAAAAGTAACAATCCAAAAAATAATGTGAAGTTGCATTTCAATATTTTAATGGCATTCTAGAATGTAACTGCGAATAAAGAAAACAGCGGTTTGGTTCTCGAGTTAAGTATGTGACGTCATAATATGGGTTTCCTGTTGGAGAGCGAAAAAAAGAGCACAGGAAGAGCACAACCTTATCTGTCAACTAACCTTGATCAAAAGATAAGTCATTGAAAACATATATCGAGTTAAATATACAATTTTATTTTATATTTTTATAATCCTCGTTGAACAGTCGACCCAATTTTGGATTTACGACTGCTAACGTTCAACTCCGCACCCTTGTAATTTTGAACCCAGAAGACAGGGGAACTCCTGGATCAGTACCCCCAGATGTATTATTTGTCATGGGAACATGGAGGACTTTGTGATCCGACAGATTTAACGTGCATCAGTCATCTTTTACTACACGGAGAGTCTTCCGCCTGCGTTGATCGAACCCACGACCTCTTGGACATGGGCCCAGTGCCCTACCAACCAGGCTATCCCAGGTCTAAATATACAATTAAAAGAAGAAGAAAAAACATCGAATAAATAGTGCAGTTGCTGAATATGCAGATTGTGTGATAAAAATATTTCCTTACTGTTTCAGTTTCTTCGCTCCAAGACGATCCCATGAGCAGTTATAGAATAGTTTTATCTGCAAATAAATTATAATTCTTTGCGATCCATTGAATATATGATGTTTGGAATAATTATAAAGAAAAACCATTGACCAGCATCAACATTTAAAACTAACTAAATCGGAACAAATTGTCAACAACAAAATATTATTTTACTACGCAGAGGTAACAAGTGTTGGTAACACCATAGATAAAATTATTTAAAATCTTCTTCTGATTTTTGTCAAGAAAATTTAAAATTTATTTTTAAAAAAATACCACTGGTGTCCTATTAGTATGTTTTTCAAACATTCATACGGCACAAATGATCCGCGTATATTAAAGGAAAAATTGAGTACAGAAATATTTGTTTTTTCTTAAACCACTGCTAAAATTTTTTATTTATTACTTGAACATACCTTCAGTTTATGTTTCTTAAATATGTTTCTTAAATATCTCATTAACTTTAAGAATCTGGAAGTTTATGGTTTTGTGAAAAAAAGCACTCATAACTTTGTAAAATAGGGTCCTGTTATAGTCAATTTGTGAAAAACCTACCCATAATTTTCTGATTCTAGCTAACTGTAGTGTCACTCATCGTAAAGAGTTGTGACGAAAGTGTTTAGCTGTTGTACCCAATGAAAACAAATTCCATTGAAATTAGTAAAATTTAAGCAATATTTCATTCAAATTAATAAAACTAAAATAGTGTTCTTTTAGAATTAAAAAAATTTAAACAGTATTCCTTAAAATTAATAAATTTTAAACAGTATTCTATTGAATTTGTTAAAATTTAAATAGTATTCTTTAAAAATTAAGCAATTTTTTTTATGAAAATTTATTTTTGTCCATATCTTAAAAACCTGACGTGATAAAGCAAAACGGTCATCAGGTTTGTAATCAGCAAACCAAACTGCGTTACAAAAGAAAAAAACAATGCCAGATATCTATAACTTGTTTATCAGTGTAATTATTTAAAACTATTTTTTGCATGGAATCTTTGGATAAATGAATTTTACGATTGAGAGCAAAATGTTTTTAATACGCATAAAAGGTTTTCGAGATACGAAGAAATACTCAAAAAGTAAAAATAACCCTAAGGGCTCCAAATTTTCGACCGCTCTCCTGATCAAACTATTAAAACCATAATTCCCTGATTTCATCGAAACAATTATTTATATTTTTCCTCTCGAAGTTAAGCTGTTGTCGTAGGCCATTAAGGAAAGGGGTGCGATTCTTGTTCTCTTGAGGCGCCATCTATGGACAAGAATTCGACTTCTGCCACACCCATACGTCTCACTCGTTTATAGAGCGAAGCGATTCATACATCCATTTATTCATCCAAGGGTCGTAATTTTGACCTGAACCAGATAACGATCAATCTCCAATTCAGTACCCTCCAGAGGTACAATTTGTTATGGGAACATGGAGGTCTTTGTGACCCGGTAGATTTAACGTGCACCAGTTACCATTTATTAGTTTTCAGTCGGCTGGATTCGAACTCCCCATTCTCACGAACGTGAATCCAGCGCCCTGCTAACCTGGCTATCCCAGTCCCTCTCGAATATAAGTGTTAAAACTAAATGAAATTCGAACGGCAAACACCGTTAACGCAAAATTGAAAGTGAAAAACTTTAATAAACAGAAATGCAAAATTGCTTTAAAATAAAATTTTCGTTAAACAATTTGTGCTTAAAGCAATCTCGAAATTGTAAGGCAATATGAAAAATCAAGGTAAAAAGAAAATAAATATCTCTTTTTACCGCTTTGAGCGATTTCATAGCTAAAGAACAATCAGAAATTAAAATTTTACACAGATTTTTAAAGAACATGAATAAAATATATTTTATGCATCAAGCTTTAGTATTAATATATTTGAGACATAGATCTATACTTTCTATATTTACAAATTTTTTTTAACAAATATATTAATTTACTAGGAGGCTCCACCCCCTGCTCGCTAACGCTCGCCAACCCCCGAGAATTGCTACGCAATCCTATGTGGTTCACGCCGTGAACCATGGCTCGCTGCGCTCGCTCGCCAATGAACACAATGTTCTAGCACAAAGACATAATATATTATCATCAAAGACATAGTATTTTATCATCAAAGACATAGTATTGTACTTATGTAGAAGAATTCTACCAATGTTCTTATTGGCTTTTAAAAAAGTATATTAGCTATTTAGATTGTACATGGTGAAAAAATCAAAACATTAGCTAAATAAGAAACATATTAGCAAAATAAATTATCAAATATTGCTTCACTAATATTCTGCATTTTAAAGCGTGAAAATTCAATGCATAAATAAACGCGAAATATAAAAAAATTCAATGCATTCAATACAAACACTTAAACGTTTTTTAGACGTTTAGGTAGCTCCCAGTAGAAAAATATCAATTCAACAGCGGCCTTTTAAAGCATTCTCACTTCAATTAATTAATTAATTCCTAATTGAGTTTAAATTAAATATTATCATGTTTTTAGGGCATGAATCTGAATTGAACAACCTGATAATGCTCACTCTGGTTATTGTTTCCGTTTTTAAAAGCGCTATATGTTGAGCCACCTCATGTGACATTTTTAGCAGCAATCATTGGTCGATTTTCTAACGTTGCCATTCGGGGAGTTGTAATGAGGCTTTTTTTTGGTGCCGTGTAAGAGAAATATATATATAGATTTCATGTGTCACACGCGCAAAATTATTTAATAACCGCTTTTCTACAGTGAACTTCGAATTAAATCAATTGAAAATTTATTGATCAACTAAACATTAATAAAAAATAACACGCTTTTAACATTTATTGAAATATAAAAAAATCAATACATTTAACTACAAGATATTTAAAAAAAAAATAAAAAAAACAATTAAATGGAATGTTAATATTTTGAATAAAAATTTACTTACAGGAAGAGTAAAAACAGCAAATCGCTCAAAATTTTTTTAAACTAATCACTTTATTTGATCCCTGTGCCTTAACCTTTATCACACTTCCGTTTCGATTTTAAGAAACGTGATATATTTATTCCTGTGATAAGACATTCAAGTGTATCAAACGAACCAATGATCTAATGTTAAAATTCCAGCAACGAAAGAAGAACTTGCTTATCAGTTTATGGGAATGCTATCAGGTTTTATTTAAGAGATATCAGCTTTATGATGATATTTGGTTTAGGGTTCAAAATTTATAGTAGATAGTGGGAGTTTAAATACGCATGTAGATAGATAGTGGGAGTTAAGAACCTCTTGACCACCTTTCAGTCCCTGGATATCAGTTTTAATTAAAGAATAGAATATCTGTAAAATATTCAACATATATATCGAACCTGAAAATACCAATCGCCACGTGGTGAGGTAACAAAAAAAAAGTGGCGACTTTAATCAATTTGAATATTTCTAAGTTGCAATGTATATGTTGTCATGAATGGCCGAAATCAAAATAATGACGACTTTCACCAGTGAATTCTTTGAAATTTGATACTTTAAAAAAAGAATGAGATAATTTTGTTCATAAAACTTATAATTATCATAATTTTACACACAAATATTTTGTTAATGTGTTAATCGTTGCAAAAATGAACGATTACTTGGATTTCAAATCTAATCAACTGTGCTGATAAAAAAAAATATTTAATCTTAAGAATGCAGAATGTGTGATTCAATAAGAAGTTATTAAATTTGTTAACAATCTATAAAATTATATTGCAACACAATTCAAATTACAAGTGGCTTTTGTCTCTTTCGCTTATATATGTTTAAAAAAACTATATAAATATTATGATTTACATGTGTGAACATCTCATTGCTTTCTATTAATTTTATTTTTCCACTTATTTGTTAATTTTCTTATCAAGTCAAGCGGGAGCTAATAAAATGATAATCTCGAGAGAGACAATTTTTTTTCTTACGATAATAGATAAATAATCATTATTTGATGCAAAGTAAGTGGAAAAATTCAGTTATAAATTGCAATAACTTTCGAACAAATTTGAATTTCGAAGAAAGAAACGTTGAATTTTATTGAATATGGCCGTTAAATTAACACGTTAAATTTCAACTCTTTAGTTACATTTGAACGAGCAACATAGCAATAGATCGGCCAAAAGTTTCTTTTTTTTTTTTTTTTTTGCTTAAAGTTTAACAGTTGATAATTCTCGGACGAATCGTATCTTAATTTATTTTATTCCATTCTATAGAATTCTTAACACATTTTTTCTACATACCTTTTTATTTTCAAGTTTCTAAATCAGTGATTACTAAGGCCCGGATTTTGATGACATTTGCATTTTTTTGCATTATTGGACATTTTTTGTCCTTTAGAGCATTTTTTGAGATTTATAGGGCATTTTCTTTAAAATTTTGGGGCGTATTTTGCATTTTAAAGCATTTTTTAAATTTTTTATTAAATTTTTCTAATTTTTATAATTTTTTATAACTTTTTATTGTTACACTGGCTTCCAAACAATGAAGAAAATTTCTAGGATATTAACAGGTGAAGTAACATCTTTTCAAATTGAAGAAGAATTGGCAGTAAGTGTGACCGTCCTTTTCAAGTACGCACTTATAACATCAGTAGACGTTGAAAGAAGCTTCTCCTGGTATAAAAATTTGCTTTCAGACAAGAGACGCTCGTTTACATGTCAAAATATTAAAAAAAAAATTAATAATCCACTATAATTCTGATATTTAGTAATATTATGAGATGGAAGTTGTTATATTCATTTAAGTTTCTATACAAAATGAAAATGTTTTGGAGTCAATATATTTTCTTTTTTTTTGTTATTTTTGGATATAAAACATATTTGTCAAACTTTAATGAACGTAGAACAAGTATTGCATTGCTTTATATTTTTTGAAACGACTCATAATAATTTTAAAGAGTAAAACATTGTTTTAGTTCAATATTTTTACTTCTATTTAAGTCATGTCATAAGGCATTTTTAGCGCAATTTTCGCATTTTAAGGGCATTTTTTGCACTTTTAAGGGCATTTTTTGCAGTTCATAAGGGCATTTTTTGCACTTTTTAAGGGCATTA